GTTGTGATCATAGATGTTGTCATGTTTCTACATGCTTGTGATCTGGCCAGGACAAAGGGCCCAGCAGAGAAACTTGCTTTCCCTTCTGTGTCGCAAACTACCAATCCTTATGCTGTGTTGGCTACTGTCCTGCTTGTCTTGGGCCGCAAGCTGGACAACGCGATGCAAATCAAGGTGCTTCTGCAGCTTTTCAACTGCACTTGTCAGGTTCCAGTCTGCGACCAGTCTTGCAGGAAAAGCTGGATGAATGCCCGACTTGCAAGCGAGCAGCAGAGTGCAAGCCTGATTTAAAATTGACCAGTTCTTTGTTTTCTTTTTGCGCAGTGATTTGACCTCAGAGAAACTACAAGGTACTCTCACGGCATGGCTGAACCGCTCAAGAATATGCAGGGCTACCACAAAGACCTCATTGATCTTCAGGCTGCTGCGATTGCTGAAGCTCCAACCAGGCATGACCCCTTGCATGCATGATAGTTTGCGTGAAAGCGCATTTCAGCTTGAACCGTGTATGCTGCAGGGAGAACAAGGATAAGCTGGTGAAACTTTTCATTGATATCACCAAGCAAGACTGTCAAATGAATGTCTTCTTGGTGCGGGCAAAGTGACATCCTCAGCCTTTACAGTGTGCAAACCAGTTTTGGTAGACATCTTGGTGGTTTCTTGACTGCTAGGTCATGGAAGCCACCAGAGACTGCTGAGGAAAAGGCTGCCAAAGCAGCAAAACGCAAAAGCAAGAAATCAGACACAAAATCTGAAAAGAAGGAGAAAAAAAGCTCCAAGAAACGCAAAGCAAAGGAAGTGAAACAGGAACCAGTCAAAGAAGAAGGCTCGTTGGATGAAGAAGAAGATGATTCATGCGCTGAATCAGAAGCAAGCAAACCAAAGCTTCTGGGCTGCATACAAGAAAACTGTGCACACTTGAGTTTTCCAACTTGGTAGTATCGTGGCGCAAGGACAAAGAAGAAGAAGTGACATGCTTGACACAAAGCAGAGCTGGGAGTTGGCTCTCAGGGCGGCTATTTTCAATGAAGCATGATCAAGTAAACTTTCAACTAATGTTTTTGCTGAGGTGATTTTGGTCCGTGGCCTGATAGAACAGACCTCCGGCACACTACAAAGTGGCCATACAGTTGAAAAAGGTCTTGGCGCCACTTACAACTATTTCTTGAGATTGCCATGGTGCATGCATTGCTATCGTTGCTTTTGCTTGTTCATTGCACTATGTTTGGTAGAATGCTGGAGGCATGATTGATCCTCCAAGAGGTTGGATGACAGCAGGGCAAACATTGTGTTTTGCATGTTGTGTTTCTGCATTGTTTTTTGTATGTCGGCAGGATATGACCAATCACCGTCCAGGCCTGCCAAAAGAAAGAGAACCAATGAAGAGAGCCGATTCTTGCATGCATGTTTGGGGTTGTGCGGGGCATCCATCATATGTTGCTGGTGAGCAGCTGCAGGAATAGACCTAGCTGAAGTTAATCAGCGCCAAAAACAAATGAGAGAGCTGGACACTATCTTGCTTGATGCTATGACAGAGGGTTTTGACACAGGTGTTTCTTGCCTTCATGGTCATGTATGGAAAGTCAAAGTTTGGAGTTGCTTTTCCTGACTGCAGGTCTGTGCACACGTGCTGAGGCTGATACAGCAAGGCATGTTGTATCTATGGGCCAGCTCTTTGATAGGATGCTTACACCTTGGGGTGGCAGTGCCCTCAGGATTGGACCAGCTTTCATTCACTAATGGGTGTGGGACATTGGTGTGAGCAGTTCAGACTGATGTAAGGTAAAAGCACTCTCCTGTCACGAATGAAATCTTGGACCCATAGAAACCATTGGGCTCGCAACCTGCATCGCCTTATTTTTCGATGTGGCCTGACATTGAATGTCTGCATCAAAGTTGTGGAAGTTCCAGTTCTTTTCCATGGACGCCTGATCCAGTCTCCGTGGCCATGCCTTCTGTTCTCATCATGGGCAAAATTGATATTTTCCAAGACAGGGGGGCAGCCCTTGCTGAATGGCCATCTGTTGGCTGATGAATCTGCCTGGAGAGAAGACCTCAGAAGATTCTGGCAGAGATACACCAAGGACCAAAGCGTTCGAGCATCCAGTGGCCCATGATAAAGCAGATACTCTAGACCTCTGCATTCCGCTGGCAATTCACGGGGATGAAGGGAGAGGTAAATTAAAGCGAGCAATCATGGTCTATAGCATCCAGCCAATGTTGCATGCCACCTCCCACAGCTACAACAGCCGTTTCCTGTACACTTGTGTGCCTGCAGAGTCATATGCATCAGATGCAACTTGTGACCTCTTGCAAATGGAGATGGTCTCAGACTTGCAAGAGATGTATGAGAAAGGCCTTGAGGAATCTAAGCTCATATATGTTGTTAAAAGTGGCTATCTTTGTAGCTGTGTGATTTGCGCATCTGCCTTGAGTGCAACAGCTTCAGCTATAGGTATTGATGCCAGATGGCACCACCCGAAGAGTATATTTTGTATTGACTGGAGTGAAAGGTGATTGGCCATTCCTCAGTGGCCTGGATGAGCTGGCTTCTTGCTGTGTCAGCTTTGCAGGTGTGTGATTTTTGAGGAAAAATACACAAGCTGTCATCTGGCTTTGCAAGCCAAAGGATCTGCCACTTCTGTTCAAGCTGTGACGCTTGACATGTTAATGTTTTTTGCTGTCTTCTGATTGTTTAATATGAAGCATGCCAGCTCAAGACTCAGGACTGGTGGAACATGAAGCGGAATGCCCAATGGAAGCAAGAACGACTTCAAACACGAGCTGTCAAGGGCTTTGTGAGCCTCCATACCTTGCCTGGAGGGCATGAATGCATGGCTTGCCCTGATCAAATGCATGTGTGGCACCATGGGTATGGACGTGAATTTATGTCTTCATGTGTTGCTTCTTACACGCACAAATGTTGAGTGTTTTAGCAACATGTTTGACTTATGGTTCTATTTGGACGGTGGGCCTGCCTTGCTCAGGTTCTCACAGCATGCAGATGGTTCCTGTTTGGTGGTTCGACTATCCAAGACGGCCTTGATGCTGCCTTTGAATGTTTCACTGCATGGCGGGTTCGCACAAAGACCACTACGACTTTCACATCATTCCAGCTGAAGACTTTCAAGATGGAATCGTTTCTGGTTGCAGCTGTGTAGGTTTGCATGTTCATGCTGGAAGCTTTTCGTACACGCTGTTTCTACCTCTCTGCAAGGCTGAATTCCTGGCCGGGGCCATGTGGAAAAGCTCATGACACCACTGCTTTGAGCAAGTGGTTGTTGGATTTCTTGGACGATGGTGTGCTCTATGAGAACCATGCCCATAGCTTAACCATTATATTTGAAGTTGTCAGTCTTGGAGGAGTCATGTTCTCTGCTTGCAGTGCGCTGAGAAAGCACCTCCGGATGTACTTCACCTTCTTCACTTCACCTTGATCAATATCAACAAGTATTTCACCACGATGGGGAAGGGCATGTGGCTGAAGCGAGAGAAAGCGATCGCGTGCATAGAAGCTTGCCAGATCATGACTGAGTCTTGGC